GAGACCCACATACTCATCAGTTTCGGCTTTGACTTTGCACGTGCCCTGACACTGGATAGCACACAACCTGTTCACCGGATGCCCTGCCCAGGTGGGGAAGGTGCTGACGCTCTGCAAGTACCTGCTCTGAGTCTAACATGTCCAGCAATTAACTGACACACCCTAAATAAAACAACTTTTGAGGACAGGTATTAATATCATCATTCCCATATAACCAATGGGGAAACAGGTCATGGAGTTTAAGTGTAGGATAGGGTACAGACTCAGGTCTGCCTCTTGCAAGCTTCTTCTATTTAAACATGAGCAAAAAGAAAAAAGATGTACATAAAAGGATTCAGCCATCTAACAGGGTATTCTAGTACTGCACTGATACATAATTTGGGAGCTGATTAAATGGCTTCAAACCTCTTATCATTTGATAATGTTCAAAGTGAATACTTATAAAGCATAATATGAAAATTCTGCCTTAGTAATAATACAGCGTGGAACATTTGTAAAGGCTTCTCTGCACAGGTCTCTTAGGGTCTCATCTCGGGCTTTCAGATCACTATAAAACTATTTATCATCAGCGTTCAGCTTTTGTAAAATGGACTCAGTAAATTGAAGCTTTGATGAACCCTGAACTGAATGAAGAAGAAGGTGAGGAATTGCTTAAACAGTCACACACAGCAATAAATCACCACTACCGACTTCTAAGTCCAGGCGACTGGGGAGAGAGGATGAGATGGGACCTGTGGATGAAACCACAAAAGAATGAGTTTTCAAATTTCAGCAACTCTTAGGTTATAGATGTGTCTTTAAGTAGTAGTTTCACTGAGCTATAGTTGAGTTATTAAAAAGGAAAGAAAGGTGCAGAGACTAAGGGAGGGAATTCTGAGTAATTTTAACTGATGGTTAAGACTCAAATATTCTTGTCACAGCATACTTCAGAACCATCTTCGGGGAACACACTATCAGAAGTGAAAATGTTGCTATAAGAGTTTCCAGGAGGGGAGGGAAGAAAACGGAAGAGGCAAGGGATTAGCAAGGATGGTGGAATGTGATGGACATCATTATCCAAAGTACATGTGCGAACACACAAATTGGGTATCAACCTACTTTATATACAGAGATATGAAAAATTGTGCTTTATATGTGTAATAAGAATTGTAATGCATTCCTCTGTCTTGTATTTAAAAAAATAAAATCAATTTTAAAAAAAGAGTTACCAAGTATTTTTAATTTTTGTCTTTAATTCCAAAGTCTCCAAAACCTGATTGGGTAATGAGGGAAAATGAGCCAACGTTTCTTTCTAACTGATTTCTTCTTCTTTTCTTATGAATGGACTTGGAGCTATAAGATTCACACATATTAAGAAACTTTATTAATTCCCACAATATGCTTCTGTGGCTGAGATCTGAACTTCTGGGTGACTTAGGTAATAATAATGTAACTGGGTTTTGAAATTTTTAGCTTGGGGTCAGTGAGGGTAGGGTCGTGGGTTCAGTGACTTTGCTTTGATAGATATTCCTTTAATTCCATCCAAAGGATTTGCAAATTAGGAAAAAAAAAGGAGGAGGGAGGGTAAAAGAATGTGTGAAGAGGAATTCAAACTAGCACCATTTCTGGAAAACAATTACATGTCCATCCCCGAAGAGGCCACTACATTACAAAGAAGAC